GCGTGTCATCGATGGCACGCGACACAATATTTTGGGCACGCCACCGTTCGCAAAGTTCACTACAAAGTATTATATTACGAACGAATGCGAGTGATCCTAGTTACATCGTTGACTATCATTACTAATGACGCATACCTCGTATCATTATAGCCCTTTATAAGTCCACGCCTTCCCCAAGGAATGCATAGTTCATTTACGCATAGCATAACAGTCAATTTCGTTGACACATCAGTGTCTAAAAATTCATTTGTGTTATATTTAGGATTTTACAACCCCAATAATAAGTTATTTGTCATCTAATCTGCAACAACAGAAGTTACACTAATGTTACTTTAATTTGAATTACGCGTATAAATGAAACATTTATCTAAACTCAAAACTCATTTATTTTTGTAGTAAATAAATAGTTTTGAGTCGATAGTATTTAGTACTATTATTTTCCCCATAATCACGAAGCCAAAATTATTTTACGGCACGTCTATTACCTAATTTAACATTTCTTTAGAAAAATAGCACGTTGATCAATAAAGGTTCGCCACCCCTGCTCTAAGATATCATCACATTAATATGATATCAATCATAATGAAATATAAAAAAAACTAAATATTTATTATTAAATACTTCAGAACATAGCTTGTTCGTATTTACTATTTACTCGTATTTACCATGCTACACTTGTCTTGTTTGGTTCTTGATCTTGCTGGTTCTTCCCTGAGCTCTTATTTTCCGAATCGGTGTAGACTTTGATGTTCATAAGAGCTTTAAACAAGCCATTGGGTTAAAAATACATCTAGTCCGTTATTGTCAATTCGCCCGCCAAATGTAACGATTCTAGCAAGTCTTCCAACGGGAAAGGTTAATGTCCAGCGGGGCATTTTACCAAGCTGATAATGAAGAAGAAGAAGATCAGACTCAAATAATAGTTTACGAACTACATAAGTTTTAACGAAATACCCTCTCGACAATGTTAACTATAGACAAATTCGTAACCAACGTTGAAAATGGAGTAAGGCTATGCTCGGAATTTTACTGTGCGACAAACTTCGTAATGAGGATATGCACAGTAGTAGAACCAGAGTGAACGATGTAGGGCAACGGACGACTAAGAGTCAAAATCTGAAGTGGCATTGGCTAATGGGCCATATAGTTTAAATAACCGGGAACCGATGGGGAAGACAAGTTCTCGAGTGGCAGTCTCGTACGTAAACGAAGAGTATAACGACCCTTAGACGGCTTAGACTCGTGCTTTATAGCATATCTTGGGGGAAGCCTACTGCGCCCTCCTTTTTGCCAAGGAGGATCGCGTTCGTATACGGCTTAGAGATCTCTCGTCAGATCGGTAAGCCAATCCATAAAGGCGGTGTTTAGTGGGTAAAAGTCTCCACATAACCACGCAGCCGGCTGAGTGGTATGCTATGAGCATTCACCGCCTCCCTCCCCCCGCTTTTCGGAGGGTTGCCCATATTTGCTTCGGGCGCAAAAAAAAGGGAAGTCTATGTTCAGCTATAGCCTAATGATGAGCTGTAGTCGTGATGATAATGGTAATGATGATGAAAAGTCCGTTGCTTTTGATTGATATATCTATGTGCAATCACGCAAGTACCATTACCGGTACCGTTCCAGCCTATTAAAGTCCACTGCTGAATGTAGGCCTCGCCCATGGACTGCCTTATAAAGGGGATATTTGTCACAGTTGCCATGCTTAACAAGCGGGTAAGCAACCGCAGTTTTTCAAATTTAGTCGTTATTAGGAAAACGCTTCTGCCCATCTCCTGATTTGTTTCCCTCTGTCGCCTCTTACAACTCCCACGGGATGATATGGAATCATATCTTTACGTTACGATCTGCAAGCAATTGGTGATTTAGTAATGCAACTATATCATCAGTTTTCTTGCAGATCGAAGCATCAACGTGCATGCTCCGATTACAAGCCTATTAATTATGATGTTTCACAAGGGTGCCTGCTATCATATCAATGTTATGTTGCAAGCCAGTAACATTCATTGCTATGCGGACATCATCTCTGGTGACGCTTTTTACACCGGCCGTGCCAATGTCGACTTGAATCCTGAGAAGACAGATGCACAGAATAAATAATAGTACACAGAAGTTTACCGCAAAAATAATCTCTTTGTTGTATTTTTTTTATAGGATAGGGTGACAAACAAGCACATAGTCCACCTGATGGTAAGTGGTTGCTGTGGCCCATAGACATCTACATCTATCCTCGATTACGAATCACATTGCAGATGCGTTGTCATTCGTGAGGACTTAGTTCATCTAAGCCTCGTTTATATGCCTCGTTTCCAGTAAAAATTGTCTCCGGTTCTCTACACTCAACATACGAAACACAGCAGCATTAAGCTACTATTTGACACTAGTATTCTGTGAGTATTTCCTCAATTTTAGAACATTCTCCACTGGCATCGGATCGGAAGACCACAAATCCTCGCTAAAGAACACCGATTCCTTCCAAGGATGATTCGCGAGGCTATTGAAATCAAAAAACATCCTAATTTCAATAGAGAAGATGGCTGGGTGCTACCATCTGCTTGGGATCCTATAATAAATAAAATTAAATCCCAACCCAAGCATACAACTGCAAGACTTCATGATACCATAAGTTCATACTGTGTAGATCGGAACAAAAGTTAAATTTTAATCTACGGTAACCGCGGTTAACTATGTGTAGTGTTCGCGTAAATATAAGAAATCATTTTGAAAGGGGCACTTGGCCCCTGAAAAGTTTGGAGTGCACAGCATAAAGGGCCGGTATTTCGTGCCGGCACAATTTACAAGGTGCAGGTTCGGTCTCACATAGAATACAAATTCTAATCTCTAGTGCAGGACACCCCAGTGCCAGCCCTTACCATTTGATCGCATTCTGCGCAGAACGGCTCAAGTCATCGACGACCTAGTTATTCTTTCTGATCAGCTCGATTCACTGGCGCTGCGAAAAGATGTTGGATCCCTTTGTATTTTCTATCGCATTAATCACGGAGAGTGTTCGAATTAATTCCAGACAAATTTCACCACGCTCATCGCGACAAAGCTCACTATACCAACCACACTGTGGAGTTTTCTTCCTCGCACTTTTCTGTTGAATCGTTCACAACCGGCGATTTTTCTGGAACGATACGACTTAGAAAGCTTAAAGAAACGAGTTTACCCATTTTTAAAATGCCGGCAACGCACCTGAAATTCCTCTGGTGATGCAGTTGTTCATGGGGTCAACACTTACTATCAGCTGAGCCGCATGCCCGTATAACCCCTCTTCTATAAAATAAATGTCATATGCATAGACTTAAGATTACGTACTAAACTCGAGATGACATGAATTGGAAACTAAGTAAGTAATCGGAAACAATAAAATAAAAAAGAAACAAAACATAGAAAATATTTATTTGCGAATTCACAAAATTTCTATTTTTATTTAAACAACATCGCAATTGTTTTTTTTTTCTTTCTACAATTATGGCTAATTTATAAATAATAATAATAATAAATGCATTTATTTTGAAAGTTAACACTATTTACAATTTGAAAATAACTTATTAAATATAATAATTTAGGACGGAATCAATAAAATGTTTTTAAAAATAATGTTTGTGACTAATATCATCTTCACAAGTTTTTTATGTGGGATATAATAAGTAAAGTACTCGTATCCTTGAATAAATTCGATAACTGTTCATTATAAATGAACATTGTGGCGAATAAACGTTAATAAATATTATCTAACCTATTTAATAATTCTTTTTCTTACAAATATTTCCATAAGAGTAAGTCTTATTAATATCAAAATCCAAATCTATTAAATTCACTGCTAAATAAAGAGATTAATAAATCTCTTTTATAAATTTCGTTTGTAAAATGATTGTAAATAAAATAGATACTATTAAATTTATTCATTGTATTGCGGTTTTTCAACTATTCCAAGCCAATTCTTGATTATTATCCAACCTGATGGACGATGCACTGATGAATTATGAATTATGCATGGAAAGCTAAAATTTTTCGACGTTTTAAGTACATTTACTTAAATCATTAACAAATTTAATGTAATTTTTTTATTAACTATTTGAATTGTATCTACGGACTTTTTTTAAAAAATACCAGCAACACCTGTTGGTTATTAAACCCGCGTAATTTTGTAAATTAAATTGGATTATTTCTACACTGTTTGTATATTATTAAAGAAAATCCTACCCTTAAACATATAACCCGATGTTTACAACGTGGCAGATTCACAGTGCAACTGTATTATGGTTACAGTACAAGTGTGTCTCCCGACCGTGGATGGACCTCGCTCTCACAATACCAGCATAAAACAGCAACTTAATATTGTATGGTGTGTGTAGAGAATCGGTGACTCTTTTAACTGATAATGGTAATGGAGCGCATTTTATCTTAGTTATCAGAGGTGACAACGTATTTACATTTTGTCACCCTTATACTATAAGAAATATAAATTGCAAAGAAAGACGAGGACATAATAAACCTTCACGAAAGGCTATAAGGAGTGAGAGATGATAGTAGCAGAATTTAATGCGAAACAATAATGAGAATCGCTAAGCTTAGAAATTTATTTAACTAGTAGAGTATCATACATAAAATGATATTTTTGGTTAATGATATATTAAAAGAAAATCATCATTAACCGAAAATCATGCATTTCGTTGGTTACATGTTAAGATCAAAATATTAGAAAAAATTAAAATGAAATTGAAGCTAAGCTACGTTTCTCTGTAAATCTGAAAATTTCTGGTTTTTGGAATAGAAAAATACCTACTGTCACTGCCTAAATTGACCGTAGATTTAATTCTTATACATGCTTTTAAATATTTTTACGGGTTCTTCTCGCAAGGATTAAAAGAGAGTTTAAAATCAGCACTTAAATTACACCAGAATTTGAATTACTTTTAACTGTACTTCGAATTCTATGTATGAGTGCATTCACAATGCTAAGATGAAGTGAAAGAGTCGAGTCGATGAACGTGCTAGAACTGTAGTATCTGGTTGATCCAGTCGCGGAATGCAGAGATGCGCGTGTAGACGCCGGGCTGGTTGGGCTCCGCGCAGCCGATGCCCCACGAGATGATGCCGCCCAGCACGAAGCGGTCGTCGCGTTCCCGTTGCACCACCATCGGACCCCCGCTGTCGCCTGGTAACGTGCACACTTCATTTGTAAATCAATTCTTCAATGTAATTTGTACATATTTTACATTTTATCATTTACTACAGGAGATCATAAGTCCGCTGCTAGACATAGGTCTTTCAAATAGATTCCCTCGGATTTTGCTATAGATGCTGCGTTTCGCAGTTCGAGAGTGACGAGTGCGCTACCGCAGTTTTTTCTTCGGTTTTTATCAGAAAAATCAGCATCTGTTGTTATCAGAAAAATGGTGCTGCTCATCTCCTGTTTCAGTTTCCCTCTGTCACCTCTTACGACACCCACGGGGTGATATGCGGTAGTGGATTCTCTTACGCCGCCAGTAATCCCCGTATTTTACGTGGTATGTCTGGAAAAAAATAGGGTGTAACATGTAGACGGAATAGAAGCCTATATATATATATATATATATATATATATATATATATATATATATATATATATATATATATATATATATATATACATCATGTAACATAATTACGCACTTTGAGAAAGTAGTTTGTTCAGAATCGTTTACAGAATCGATTCCTATAATTTTTAATATAGGTAATTTTTCATCCCAAAAATAATTAAAACTACGTAAATTACAGTCACACTAAATCTGTACAGTCAAAACATACTGAAATGGACCGTAACTTAAGGCAATAAGACTTTTAAGAGTGCAGTTTTATTTGTATTATTACTAATTCTGATAATATAATAAGATAATGATAATAAAAATAAAGAAAAATGAACTTTATTTCAAGCACGTTAAAGTCTTTGCGTTCGTGGATTTGTACTGCGACCACAACATTCTTCCGGAATTAGTATAACTAATTTGATAAATAATCAGTGCATAAAAATGTTTAACAAAAATTCAGTGTATGTATTATGATTATAACATAATATGCTAATTGGGGTGTCTGAGGATGTGCGTTAATTACGTTACATTTTATATATATATATATATATATATATATATATATATATATATATATATAACTATAAGCATTGATATTTTACAAAAAATAAAAATTTTGAATTAATCGTTAGAAAAGATTTTTTTTAACAATTACTTTGCCCTTTGCCCTTGAGCCTGTGATCCTGCGAAGTGACAAGGTCAAGGTCACTATATTTATTGTTTTATTGCCGTTCGTAAAGTAGGGTGGATATGATTTGAATTTCGATAGATTTTAATCAATTTATTTATTTAATTCAAAATTTTTGGCTTCTACTCCGTTCACATGTTACACCCTATTTTTGCAGACGGTAAAAAATCTAGATCTATAGATATAGATCTATACAATATGTAATTCGATTTAGTACAAAAATTCCTTGAAACTGGAAACAAATTATAGTTACGTACAATTTTGGTTGAGTTTGTTTTACACTATCGTGACAGTAAGATACTATTGTAAGAAATTATCGTTGAAGCTTACATAAACTATTGTTTGACTAAGATCGTGGTGTGATAACTAGTTGTTGGTATTATGTAAGTTAGTAGTAGTACCTACTGGTAGTAAGCAGTAAAAATTAATTAGAACAATCTGTTTCTAGAACTGTCGTTAAACTCTGGTCAAAATATCGTTAAACTCGATGCAAATTATAGCAGCAACACTTGGGTAGATACATTAATCTTCTTCATTACCAGAACTGCGCTATTAGTGAAATCAAAGGCAACATAATAGTAATTAGAGAACATTTATGTTTGTTAAAACTTGATAAGATTTCATAAGTTTATAAATATCATAAATTTTTTGTTATTGTTCTTTACAGACCTTGACCATATAGGTACGCTGTATAATAGAGGTCAGTGGTAGCAAATATCTTCTAAATTGGTAACTGAAATTTTATCATTCATTAGAGGGCAAAAAGTCAAAATTAAATAAAAATGTTCCGATTTAGATCAATTTTATTGATAAAAAAGCAAAAAAGAGATGAGAGAAAACAGACCTTCACAACTGTCCGCACCACCAGTCCTCCAGCCTGCGCAGATGAAGATATTGGGGATGTGCTCCGTATATCCAGCTGCTTGGTACATCGCTTCACACGCGGTGTTGTTAATCACGGGTACTTGCACTTCTTGCAGTACGGTAGGCAATGGACCCTCTAAGAAAAATACAGTTAAAAACAGTTAAGCAGTTGTGTTAAAAACCCTATTTTGCAAAGTATATAATAAAATTAGACATATTTGTTAATTTTTTGTATTTTTTAAATTATAATAGATACCTAATTATTTAAATAAATATTTATTATAAATAAATTGTTTTTCCGAGTATGAGGTTATTTTCCGATTTAGCCATATTATACTTATAAATATTCCCACAGTCAAACGATTTCAAGTGTCTAAAAAGATTTTGAGAAAATTTTGTAAATATTTAGTTTATGTAAATTATAAAAAATTAAAGTTAAATTGCGGGTATACTTTTACTATGCTGTGTTATACAGTGTAGTGATAAATTAAATGAGAAGTGCGTTATAATTGTCTTTAGCAGAATTAAAATATATTTTTATACTAGTACACATACTCGTATTGTACGTGTTAGAGCCACGCTGCAGCTATATTATATTTGTACCACGAATGGGCCGGCTCAACTGGGACAGGACCACGCCATCACGGAATACCAGCGTAAAATATCAGCGTAATGCTGCTATGTTTCGTATGTTGAGTGTAGAGAACCGGAGACAATTTTTACTGGGATCAAGGCATTCCGTCTTAATCCTCGGGGGTGACAACGCATTTGAATTATTGAATAAATGAATATACTTTATTGTACACCACAAACAAATTTACATAGAACATAACGAAGAGCAGATTACATGTACAATTTGGCGGCCTTATCGCTACATAGCGATCTCTTCCAGGCAACCAGAGGTGTAAGGAATAAGACAGTAAATACTAGGTAGGTGGTGCAATATAAATATGCCTAATATAATATCAATAATACAATAAAATAACATATAAATAACTAATACATTAAAAAAATATGATACACATATACATACGTATATACATAAACATACACACACACACATATATATATATATATATGTGTATATATATATATATGTGTATATATATATATGTGTATATATATATATATATATATATGTATATATGCTAGCTTCCCAGGCAGACGTTGTTCTGCCTTTTCGACGACCCTTTGTCATGTCCTATTAAAAATGCTTAAGTTCGCAAAAAAAAATTGTGGTACACTCACGGCCAAAAAAAATAGATAGATAGTAGATTTGAGTAAGAATTTTAGTAGGTTTTAGAAATGTAGTCATATATTTTTTAGAAAAGTGTGAATATGAAGTTAATGAGACTTAGGTACATTATTATTCAATGCAGCTTATAAAAATCCACTGCTATACATAGGCCTTCGCTACAGATAAAGAAAAGATGTGTCTTATAGGGTGGATTTTGCAATAATGGCTACGTTTTACAGCCGGATTGGCAACCGCAGATTTTTATTATTTAAGCTGTTATCAGGTAGATGCTCCTGCTTATTTCCTTCTTTAGTTTACTTCTATAACTATGGATGATATGAGGTAGTGGAAATTACTACACTGTCCCATATCGTCACACAGTTAAATTGCTATAGCCACAGTTATTATAGTCCTATGTAGTGTCCAGGGAGTTTCGGGGGCAATAAATCGATCTAGCTAGGATTTATTTTTAGAAAATGTCTTTTTGTCTATGTTTTCAGGCGATAAAAAACTGCTACAATATAAAAAGGTAAATTTTGACACTGTTTTAATGATCGTAATAGCTCAAGTGGATAGCGGGCGGTCGCGAAATTGTAATGCCTGGGATAGCCTCCTGTCTTCGGTCCGACTTTTTACTTTTTCTTTTTAAGTTCCTTCTTTTGTGAGAAAATCTATTATTTCGAGCCTTTTTTTTTTTGGTATTTTTTAAAAATATGAAAATTTTAATTAAACTAATTGCACTCATGATATTTTGTTCAAATAACCAATTCAGTTTTTTCTATTATATCAATAAGATCAAAAAATATTATTCGTGTTTCATCAGTATGTAATTTGTATCTAAATGTTATTTCAAAAAAAAAAAAAAAACGAGCAAAGCTCGGTCATCCGGATACTATACATGAAGCGATCTATGTTCCAAAACTTTTGAAGACGTAGACTTTTTAAGAGCTGTGAGATGTGAGATATACTGACCGTCGTAGAGCCTGCCCCAGCCGGTGACGTATGCAGTCTTGCCCACGTAGTCATCGTCGTTGTCCGGTACGCACACCGGCAGTATATTCGGCTGGAACGTCACTGGTTCGTAAAACCTACGGATGTTTAATGATGTATAATATAAAGAATATTTTTATAATAAATGTATTATGTAAAAAATATACACCCGTTACTATGTCACCTACAAAAATAACATCACGCAACATCTTATACTGGCGGGAGTATCTTGACCTGAGCGAGCAAGTTCGAGTATACATCGCGTCGCTAAAATGGTGATGAAGTAATATCATAAGTCACAGTATAAAGTTGAAACTTTTTTTAAATTATGGTATAAGGGTGACAAACGAGCACACAGTACACCTGATGGTAAAGTTCTCTACGCAAAGGTTGTCTAGAAGAGATTACTTTCAGTGATAAGACCGTCTGTTGTACATATTCTACATTAGATTTAACTGTACTCGATATTTTGTATTTTGGTGTACAATAAACAATAAATAAATAAAATAAATACAAGAAATTAATTAATAAGAATTATTTATAATAAATTAATGTACAGGATTATCTTTCAAACTGTAGCTAAATTTTAAACTGATGTTCAAATATATATAATGATATATCATTATTGTATTTTTTTAGATACGAGTAAATAAGGCTTCTAATTTTATTTAAAATTATCCCAAATTGAATGTGATTTATAGGCAACAAAGTTTTTGCCTATCGATTGACCATTACGAATGTGTGCGTGCGGATTTAAATCAGTTAAAATAATGCATCACGCATTTTGAATTTACAAGACAATAAAAAGGATAGAATTTATGAGATATTTTTAAATAAATTTTTCTTCACCATTTGCCTATATTACTTATTCTGAACCTTCTCTGCAAATTTGGCCGGTTATCGCAAAATAACCATGTATGTATTAAAATACATAAAAGTATCATGTTTATACTTGCTTTATACGTATTTTATATAAGTCGTTAGATAGCAACTTTTTTTCAATCACACGTCATTATGAAAAAAATATTATAACTCTTCCATCGAGCGTGATCTGATACAATATTAATAAAAATGCAATTTCCATTTGACATATTTTACGACGTACTTACAAATAAAATTTTACGATGGATCTCACAAAAATTAATTTATTATTCGATGAAGTACATATTTAAATGTATTAACATGACATTAACAATGAAAACGATTCGTTTTAAGTTTTAGGTGATGGCACTATAATAGGTAAAAGAATTATAAAATTGGTCATAAAAGAGATCCTTGTTAGATTACAATGGTTAGATAAGATATTTTTATAAAAACACTTTATAAATTGAAATTGCATAGCCACCATAGAATACTATAAATACATACATAATAGAACGGGGGAGTGGGCGGAGCCCGCGTAGCCACTAAAATGTCACACGTCAATTCACACATATAAATGTCAACACGAGATATGTTTTGACGTTACAATCGTTTCCAAATTGCGCATGCAAATTATTTAGAAAATGCCAAATTGCACCCTATTTACAAATAAATATGTATTAAAATTTAAATGATTTTTTTAATGATGATCTTGAACATTAATCAAAAGTCTAAAATATGTAAATTTACTCAGTCTGTCAACACAGGTTTCTCTTGTACCATGGAGGCGTTATACATACAAATTGCACGTGAAAAAACATTCAGACCCGGAACAATTACTAGTAGGCCCTAGAAACACTTTTTCCGTGTCCGGGTTTCGAATCCGCGATCCGGCAGCATTGAAACCATACTAGGCACGGCGCTACCAAGCCGTCAAATTCAAACGGATATGGAAATAGTTACCATTCAAAACATTACTGAAGCAAATATTTTTTATAAAACGTTGACCCTCTTTTATAGTGACCTTATTTCTTATGGGCCGAGAGTCATTGGAGCGTGTTGCTTCGGTCACTCATCACTACACTTGACTTTTATTTACATACAAGGATCACAGAAAAAGATATAGCGCGATAGCTAGTAAATTTATTATCATTAAGTAAAACACCATAACGAACATAAGGTCATTTTATATCGAGATTGGGACTGGCATTTTGGATGCCTCCTGAAGTTTCCGGTTTTGGTCTGTGATTTTGCTTAATGCTATTAATTATCATTATTATAATTTTAGCCCTTATCAAATGCACTGCAAAACACTGCCTCGGGAATGGCATAAAACGGCCGGGCTTATAGCCTTAAAAACCGATAAGTGATGTGGAAGGAAGTTTTTTGAGTGGCAGCCTTTTACCAGTAAGGAAAGTAAGGTAGTAACCTTCTAGATGGGTTTGATGACCCAGTAACATATGCAAGATGTCGATGGATGCAGGTGGCTCATGATCGAGTTTTGTGGTTATTAATATTACAATTCTAAAATTCTTGTAAGAGTACAAAACACGGTGTGGAACGCACTTCTGACACACCGACACACGTGACTCCCCTCTAGTCACGCCAAAGCATGAGTTACAATTGATAGTGTACCCCTTAACTGACGAGCATGTATACGTAGGTATAAGGATGTGGAAGAGGCGAGAGAGGTATGTCAGTTTCGTGCCAAATGGAAGTCTGTAGTCTCTGCCTACGTCGTCTGGGTGACAGGCGTGAGTGCTTATGTATGTATAGATAGATAGATTGAAAATTTTTTATTGCACTCAAACAAAACAATTTGGTACAAAGGCGAACTTAATGCCGAAAAGGCATTCACTAACCTTTTGTAGTGTGGTGAGAGCTATGGGTAGAGCCGCGAGAGAAAAAAGAAAGAAAAACTAACTTATTTATTCATACTATTCAAAACGCATTATATAATATTATGTATATGTTAGTTTATACATATATACACTTATACACATACATACATATATATACATACATACATATATATTTAAACAAAATATATACTAAACCAATAAAGCGTACAATATAGTATACGAAATTATAATAAACATAATCAATAAAATTAATCAAGTAATTTTAAATAATATGCCTCAAGCTTACGTTTAAATGTATTTATTGAAGGAGCATCTTTTAAATCTCGTGGAAGGTTATTCCAAAGTGTAATTGATGATACCATGAAGGAATCCGAGTAGTATGCAGATTTATGCATCGGGATAGTTAGAGTTTTGTTGGTCATCGAACGGGATAAGCTTAAATATGAAAAACGCTCTTTTAGATAAACTGGGGAACAAGGATTGCGAAGAATACCATACAAAGTGGTTAGAAGGTGTGTGTTCCGGCGAAAACGGATGTCGAGCCACTTAAGTCTTGGGCGAAATTGTGATATATGATCAAACTTGCGCAGGCCAAAAATATAGCGTATGCACAGATTGAGCAGGCGGTCGAGTTTGCTAAGCAGCTCCTCAGTTATATCTGGATAGGCAATATCGGCATAATCAAATATAGGAAGCAACAGAGAGTTCACTAGCGTAACCTTGGCCGTCTGAGGAATAAATTTTTGCCAGAGCTTTAATGAATGCATAGTTCCAAAAATACGTCTCCTGACCTGACCTGACTGACATTAACCTGTAGCACCCAACTTAGATCGTCAGCCAAAATTAAACCAAGGTTCTTAACCTGCCTAAAATATTCTAAATCTACACCGTTTAGAGTGATCTTAGGTAGATATTGACAGTCAAGTCGACATGTAATTTTTCTGCTCCCTATGATTATAACCTGTGTTTTGGCAGGATTTAATATTAGCCCATGACATCTTTACCCACTGATGAACTGCAGCAAGATCAGAATTCATTCTGTCAACAGATGAATTTACTTCATTTAAACTAAAATGCTGATACAGCTGGACATCATCTGCGTACTGGTGATACTCATATAAATGATAAACACAGAAAAAAGCAACGGAGATAAAACACCGCCTTGAGGAACACCAGCAACAACGTTACACCAATCGGAGAACTTATCATCAACACGTATGCTTTGCCGGCGTCCCCGACGATAGGAACTGAACCATTGAAGAACTGACGATGTTAAATTCAGGGATTTCAAAATTGCTAACAGGATGTCATAGTCAACACAGTTAAAGGCGTTACTGAAGTCCAGAAGGACAAGAAGAGTGAGTTGACGATTATCCATCGCGAAGCGGATATCATCAGTTATTTTAATTAAGGCCGTGGAAGTACTGTGCAGAGATCGGAAACCAGACTGATAAGGATTAAAGACGTTGTGTTTGTTTAGAAATTTTGAAAGTTGGCCATGAACAACCTTTTCAAGAATTTTGGAGAAGAAGGAGAGGATAGATATTGGCCTATAGTGGCTGAAATTAGTAGGAGAGCTATTTTTGGGGACAGGAATCAGGAACGCTTCTTTCCACTTGGTAGGGAAGGTACTGGAGACAAAGGAGAAATTTATTAGGTGAGTGATATGGGAAACTAGTTGGTCCAAAATCCGCAAAACCATGTCACGTCCAATATTATCTGGGCCGACAGCTTTGCTGGATATGACGGATGCAATTTTTTTTTACTTCATTATCAGTCACTGGTTCAAAACAGAAAGGAGTACAACATGGTAAAGGGAAAGAAGTGATATCTTTAATAGTATCGCTTTTGACTGTTGAGTCCAACGAAACTGGTAAAGAGCAAAAGTGTTTGTTGAGCGCTGTTAAATCAAGGGACTGACTAACATTCTGTTTGCCTTTACCAAAGCGTAGGCTGCGCAAAAACTTCCATAAATTCTGGGTTGTGCAAGTCTCAATAGTATTGTGAATATGTCGGCGTTTGGCATTTTGTATCACCTGGTTGCAGCGATTTCGTGCTTTTTTAAATCTTTCCCAGTTTTCATCACTGGGCGAAGGTTTATGTTTTCTTTTAAGGCGGTCCCTACGTGCCATAAGAGATCGAATATATGGCGTTAACCAAGGTGCTGGTGCCCGTTTAATTTATCATATATATATATATATATATATATATATATATATATATATATATATATATATATATATATATATATTATGTTATTGTATATGTATCTAATACTGGTGATAAACGAGCACACATTTCGACTGATGGTAAGTAGATGCTGTGGCATATAGACATCTACATTTAACACACACATAATATATAGGCACGGCTTGTAACAAGTAAAAAAAAGTTATTCCAGCATTGCACCAAACTTGTGTTTGTCTTTATAACTATGGTATCTACAATCCATTAAAATTAAGATAGTACGCGTATGAAAAATCTTATGATAAATATTATGTTTTAAGTTTTAATTACGTATTACGTACCTATATACTTTGTAAATAACAATAATGACTAAAATGTGATAATGTGTTAATAATTAAATTTAGAGTTTTCTCAGCTAATGGAAGTCGCGATGCAATAACTTATAAGAAACGATTCAACACCATCAAATATTCAATAGATAAAAACAAATTCAGCAGGGTGATTCAATTACATGAAAACTATGTGTTATTGTAATAAATATCAAGACTTTGAAAAATTACCTAAGCAGTGCTAGGTCATACTCGAAAGTGTTTCGGTCGAAGTGCGGATGGCTGGCGACAATCTGTACTCGCCGCTCAGCGAAACCATAGGGTTCGTCCTCAGTTGCCAGGTCGTGTTCGCCGAGACGAACTAGTAGCTCTGAAGGTGGTACGCTAGAAAAATAATATATAAATAATGTATTAATTTATGCTGTGTAAGGGGGGGGGGGGGGGGTGTTGCCGTGTAGTGGCGTGATAAAAATACCCACTACATCATGTCATCCCGTGGGTGTCGTAAGAGGCGAGAGAGGGAAACAAAATCAAGAGATGGGCAGTAACATCTTTTTAATAACGACTAAAAATAAAAATAAAAACTGCAGGTGCCAACCCGCTTGCCAAGCGTGAAAACTGTGGCATATATCCAATGAGTTGAGCCAATTTATGGGGGAGGTCTATGTTCAGCAATGGGCTTTCAATATGCTGTAAAGTAATAATAGGATTATTCTATGAGGAAAAAAAATACTTTTTCTTTAAGTGCCAACTAATACGTGATTGCTATTTAGCGGACGAGACTCTGGCGAATGACAAATGTCGACATATTCATTCGAAAACATCGATCGTAAATAATACAGACTGATGACATCAGTGTGACTTATTAATACCGTAAGTACCGAGAGCCGTGGTAGGCGCATAGTGTTGTTATGAGTTGACTTCGACGAATAATATATGTACATGAACTAAAATTGGTACAATCCAACTTGTTTAAAAATTAATATTTTTTAATGAGGAATTACTAAACTCCATAAACATAAAATGATGTTTTACCTGTCCCTTTGGTCTGACTTTGAATGTTTTTACACGCCATTGTTAAGGAAACTGTACGTTATCATAAATTTCTTCGTAAAAATTTTTGCGATAAGATGTAATGACAAAATAATGCACCTTTTATGTCGACGCGTTTATTGTAAAAGAATGTTTACATATTTAATTTTGTAAAATAGGTTCATTTACATGTCGTTGTGTACCTTTGGTTTCGTTGTATCAATTTAGATTTGAATATTTTCGAGCATATTGTATATTATAAAAAATATTCGCGGAAAACGGGATTCCCACATCAATTTTTTATTGAGAATGTTGTAGGTATATAAATTTAGAGTATGTCGTGTCTATAAAGATATTGGAATTAGAGTAGTGTGGGATTTATTTAAACTCTCTAAAATAAAAGTAATTACATTTACCTTTTAAGCTTTTACTAACCAACAACTAAGTGTTGAATATACACTTAGGAAATACTAAGGGCAGTGTGTCAGTCAAACAAGCTAGTTGATTGCACACTAGTTTCTGTGGTTGAATTAGGGATGGATGATATACATATACCGATACATTAAAACACTTTATGTATTTTAACGATGCATTGAATACAACCGATCTAAAGTTAACGCTTCAATATATTCGATGTATCGACGTTTTTCATTCGATACATCGAATGGGTACCTAATTTTAACGAAACCTAATTTTAATTGTAAATTTATTCTTAACTTTGTTAATGATTGTCAAAGGGTTAGTAGCTTTAGATAATCTATTGTGTCTTGTTCAGTTAGGCCAAAATATGACATAATATGTCTAAATATATCGCGATCACCAACCGCTAGTGAAATTGTCATCATAAAAATATAAGTCCTAATATCCAGACACAAGAGGAAGGAAAGGGAAACAGAGATTGTATCCCAGAGGAATGAACTATCTACAGAAATAGCAATATTCGTGCTACCTAGTACATCTAATACTATGTATATGTAAGGAACTGTTTTTTTACGTATTTTCAACTTATCAAGGTCAATTTCCTACATGCGAAACTTCAGAGATAAATATTTCTGAAACTTAGTTTTTATAAAAATGTTGATTTAAAAATAAATGAGTGATTAAAAGAACAAAGTATATCAATTTTATTGTGGAAGCTATAAGAGAGGGCAATGCCCTGCAATATAAAAAGTATCGGCCACTGATATAAACATTTAAATGAATAATGCATAACGCAACAAGGTAAGTATCGCGTACTTCAAGTATTTTGTTTTGAGATTTACTAATATCGTATTGTAAAATATTGAATATAAAATTATAAAATGTGGGAGAAAATGATCAATATCATAATTACAGCCCTTTTCAAGTCCACAGCTGGTCATAGGTTTCAAGGAATACCACAATATATCACACACATGAAAATAATCATATTAGAAAATATCAAAATGATATTTAACGAAACGAGGCGAAAAAAAAGTAGAAATAATTATTGCTGATCTTTCGTCTTATTAATGGGCATTTTTGTAATAGGTCCAATATTTAAGAGTTAAGCATTCAATCTTATTTTACGGTTTTGTGGTTTAAAAAGTCGCGTTTCAAGGTTTTTTAAAGGATGAGTGTGTATAGGTACGTTCGTACATTAATAAAGGTTTGTCGTATCCAATAAATTATGATAACGTCTCCAAACCACTGCCATTCATAACTAATATCTTATTAAATAAAAGCGAATCAGTAGTTTTTTAATTAACAGAATTGATGTTACAGTCACTAAATAGGAAATTTATGGAGGTAGCTATGGGAATTGTATTTATATTAATTTTTACCTATGTTTTATTTTGTTTCACCCAATTAGCCCATGGTAACAATAATTATACAAATATCTTTGAATTACTGCTAACACTATTAAATGAGAGGAGGCCAGTAGTGGGACGTATATAGGCTGTAACTTTAACTTTAACTTTTAATACTATTAGAAACCTATGTCCCGACCTTCGGACAAAAATGGGAACACATATTGTTTGTAAGCACGTAAAGAATCAAGGATAATGTTTATTTGCATTACGACAAATAAGAGACGAGTTTAAAGTAAATAAGTCAGTACGTCTTATTTTCCTTATCAAATTATCATTGTTAATCAGTTTCCTTAAGTCTAGCTTAAGGTTTAATAGTGTTTTTATGTCTCGTTGTTCCACAGACAGGTTTAAGGTCGGCATGTTTTTTTACTTGTGTTTGCTAGGGTTTCTTCTCGAAATAATTTTAATGTTATCTGGTCGGTTTTATCAGTAGACTATTATGAATGTTTATCTTGTTTTTATTAGTTTAAATGTTTCATAGTATATTTTTTTTATGGAATAGGGTGACAAACGAGCACACAGTCCACCTGATGGTAAGTTTTTGCTGCGGCCCATCATACATCTATCCTCGATTGCAAATCAAAATGCAGATGCGTTGTCAACCGTAAGGACTAAGATGGAGTGCCTCGTTTCCAGTAAAAAGGGTCTCCGTTCCTCTGCACTCACCATACGAAACACTGCAGCATTAAGCTACTATTTCACGCTGGTATTTTGTAAGAGCGTGGTCCTTCCCCGGTCGAGCCGACCCATTCGTGCTACAGCTATACTACTAATATAACTACAGCATGGCTCTACCACGTATAAAACTTTATTAAACACTTCAATTAAATATTATATAACTATAGAATAGAGGTATTAATCTTCTTTTTTCTTCAGGAAATAGGTTTCTCCAGGTGGAACGCTTGGCAGACAGATTGGCGACCGCAGTACCAGACATCTCGCACCCGTGACGTGTGTGCGTCAAACGGGATGATTTTCCCACTACCAACTAAATAAACAGTCAAAAGATCTTTTAAGTATTTCCCTTAGCCTTTGTACGATACACACGGGGCGAAATGTCGCAAAATCAACACATCACAAGACAGTCAATCTCATGTGCTGTAATCGTCAATGCGATTATAAGACGATTAAGGCAAACATTACGATAAGAGAAGCGTCCTCTCTCCTCTCTGCAATACGAGAAGCCCGTGTCCAGGACTTTTATAGGTTAAACAATTTAAATCGGATCTTAATCGAATTTTAATCGATTATATTGTAAAATGTATTCAACGTGATTTATATCTTCGATACTGACTGGATTCACACTTAATTTGATATAAAATCGTAACCCCAATACTAGAAACTTCTGCAGCACCTCGAAGGCGTTTTGTATTATAAATTGCACAAGGACAAGCAATCAGAATCATGTTCACGGTCTCATATCGTCCCGTGGGTGTCGTAAGAGGCGACAGAGAAAAACTGAAACATGAGATAGGGAGCAGCATCGTGCTGGTACTAACTCAGAGAAACTATGACAAAATCCTTCCTACGAGGCAACCTACGGAAGAGGCCTATGTTCAGCATTGATGAATGGATGGATTTATACAATCAGACTAGGAGAAAATATTTGTAGGCCTTTCAATTGTTCGACTCAGGAATGAAGTCCGCAGTTTTAGCGCCGAAGCCAAAAGCCACCGAGTGGTCAAAAACGGTTCTTATATTTAAACTTATTTCACTCTTACTCTTACTAAACATACGAGATTAATCTCCAACTTCGCATTGATAAAGAATTTTTTATATCCCAATTTTATTATTATATATAAGAAGTTTATTTCAAAGCCGCAGATATTATGACTACTTAAGAATCCTGAATAATAATTAGGAAGGAAGAGATAAAAACATCCCGCATTCCAAGGTAATATTTTAAAGCGCCGCGGTTTAAGTAATTCAAGTCTGGTCAATGTCGTCGCAGAAACATAGCAGTTTGTGGCGCAGCTTGTGTTGAATTGAAATGTTTGATAAAGCTTTATATTTTGTGTCACTATGTGGTAGGTCTAGGTAGTAGCTTCTTACCTATTTCCTCGTGATATTCTTATTTTTTTTCTTTCATCTTCGATCGTTCTTCTAGTCGGTGATTTTTTTATAGGATAGGGTGACAAAAGAACACACAGTTCACCTGATGTTAAGTGGTTGCTGTGGCCCATATACATCTACATCTATCCTCGATTACGAATCAAAATTCAGATGGGTTCTCTACACTCACCATATGAAATACAGCAGCATTAATTTACTATTTCACGCTGATATTCTGTGAGAGAGTGGTCCTTCCCTGGTCGAGTCGATCCATTCATGCTACAACTATACTTCTAATATAAATGCAGCATGGCTCTACCACGCATAAACGTGATATAATAGGGACACAAGAGTAAACTATTACACACTATTACTGATTTTTTTAATACGGCGAAATCCTTTGCCCTCTATACAGAGGGCAACAAATAGCCAATGCTTTTTGTCAATAGATCACGAGATCTCTGTTCGGAAAGTAACTTAGTCTCCTACATCTCTATATTTATATTGTACGTCCCGGTAACAGAACTATCCACCATTAGCACCCTCGCCGAGCTATCTCGTTGATTTAAGACTACGTCCTTACACAACTAGCACCGTTTTTTAAAGATTTAAGATGCTCTTCATCCTAAGTAATTAATTTGCACACCTTGAATAACATTTTTAACTTCCCGCTTTGAAAATTAATAATTTTCCAAAGTAGGAAATTATAAATTTCGGTCCGATTTTGAGAATGCGAATTTTCTCTACGTTTTGAGTTCCCGGGAAGCTGTTCCGACTATTTCTGGCTGAACGGCCGGTCGTGTGTGTATGTGTGTGTTTTTTTAATAAATTTTAATGTGAATTGTGGGGCCGTAAAAAAGAATCTACTACTACATTTTATCCTGTGAGTGACGTAAAACGATTATGGGAAAGATCGAAAAGACTTCATGACTCCAATATATGAATGGAGGCGGTATACCATCTTTGGAATGCCAAATGTAAAACACATAGATCGATGGGAATAGTCTAACTTGGCGAGTTTTGCAAATCCTTCCTACAATGAGAGGCCCATGTCAGCAGTGGATTGTAAGAAAGATAGAAACACAATGGCTTTAGATAAGAAATTAATTTACTGTACGTGTAGTTAAATGATTTTAGTACTCACTGTTCAACGCAATGTGCAGCGGTGATAGCCCAGTTTTCATTCAAAAGTGCGGCACCGCACTTGTGAAGATACGTAGACGTCCTGTATTGGCGAAGCGATATCTGCCACGGCCACTGGCCGAAGCTCGACTTGGTGCCACCAACGATGCGCCCCTGGGGCCAAAGCCGTCGCCCACACACTGCCAGCACCAGAAGAGTTGAGTTTATTATCATTGTTCCACACGACTCACTTGCTACAGTGATCGTCTGAAAATTCCAAACAAATACGTAATACTCCATATGTAGCTAAGTTTATATGACACGTGAAATTCATTATTATTATGAACGTTTTAACAATGTATTTAATCAACGTTAAACTCTTATTATTTACAAAGTCACTGTACTTCAATTATTAATTTTGACGCGAAATTTCCATTTACTAGTTCTAATTATGACGTAATGTAATTGTTTAGAATTAGTAAATTAATAATTATAATAAATGTAAAATTCTACAAGTGTTTAGTTTATATATTAACACATAAGTAATTAATGCTTCAAGAGTACTGCAATTCATGGAGTCTTTATATTATTTTTTTTTTCAAAATTATAAATAAAATGGATGCACTAATTTAGAAACCACCGATATTGCAGTACGTCCTTGTGTTCGCCTTGGCCGTGGCGTGCGAACACATCGCGCGCTATCTGACAACTCTTTGTCTTTGTTTAAATTCTGAACTGAGTTGATTTTATTTTTTGTAGTTGTTGATACGCTCAGGAGCCTGAAGTCGTTTAGTCA